GTATTCCCAAAACATATTAAAATGGATTATTTAATTTAGGTGAAACATATAATCATTAGCTGCTTAAGTTCTATCCCAATTTTTACACAGTACACACTAGGAATCGTATTCCTTTATACGAAGGTCTCATATCCATTTTTTCTAACCATCAACAATAAAACTTTTAGACTGACAGACTTTAAATGCTAATGACAAAATCAATCAACCTCCATTAACTGCTATCAGAGGGTTTTCAGTACAAGGGCACAATGAAGACTTTGTACCCCCTCTTGTTCGCCACGAATGAAAAACATTTCATTCTAAAATTTTGTAACTCTTGGGAACAGGTGTCCCCTATTGAAAATATATATATATATATATATATATAGTTTAAATACAAACTGGATAACATCAAACCTATCACTTGAAGATCTTTTTTACATTGTAACACATTTTAGACAGCAGAAGGATAAAATAAGAAAAATTTATAAAAGAAATACTAAAATCTAAAATGGATCATAAAATATCCTTAAAAATTAATTTTCTAGACCTGCCTTTATGTTTCCTTCCAAAAGACCTAACTGTCACTGTGAGCTATTGTAAAAGTTTCACCATGATAGTCTAATACAGAATCAAAGGAAATAAGAATTCATTAACAATAAGACTTGGTAATTCCTTAAAACAGTAATAAATTATAAGAATGAATCAGTACGTGTAAAAAACGTCACTGAAATCAATCCTAACTTAATTGTATATGGTTACAAATAAGAGTTTTTTTTTAAACTAAATACTTCATCATTTTTAAATTTTATTTGTAATTTATGGAGAATGGAGAATTCTGAAATAAAATTTAAAAAAGAAACATTCTATGTAATAAAATCTATACACAATGTAAACTTTGCAATGCCAAAATGCATAACACATTTATGAACCTCAGTGCATTTACTGTGATATATTTTCATCTATTGATATTTATTATTAATTAATTTATTAGGTTCTTTAGTAATTCTCTGTTATGCATTTTGATGCATTTTGATGGTACTATTGTAATAATATGTGCGTGTGTGTTATTATTCTTATTTACATACAAACAAAATTGCACACATACTCCCCATACGGTGCTATCAGCGAGTCTTGGGTTCTCTTTAACCCCTTAACTGCCGCGGAAAACGTACAAGATTCATTCCCCAGTGCCATGGTTTTTCACATAGACGCGCGTAGTTATGCGATTTATTAGGGGAGAAATAAGAGCTAGTTTTACTTTCTAAAAATTTTTTACTTCCACAAAATAAACAGTGAAAGAAAAAAAAAATGAATGCACAAAATTTAACATTTTGAGTAAAAATAAAATAAAAAGACGTAAGTATAATAAAAATGATGTTTTTATAATAAAAAAGATCCCTATAATGGAGTTTCCATCAATTCATTTTTGGACCAGTAAAGTGTAATATCAGGTTTTAGCATTATACCTTGTGAAATCAGTATGCCTATAAAAATATATATTTCTTCTGAACTGGTTGAATGCCACGATATTGTTCTTGATTTTTCATTTGCAAGGTGTTGTTTCATATACTCGTCTACAAAACGGTTAGTTTCAGTAACAATATAAAGCACGAGCAGTTCATCAAAAAATAATTAAAAAAAGATTAAATGGGTTTGAAACATCCATTATATCTTTCTTTATTCCTGGAACCTACTACATAAAGTAAACGAAAACGGAGGACTCAGAATAAAAAAAAAAATTACGTTTTACTCAAACAACACCAGCCAATACCGTGCAGTCATTACTTTCAGCGCTTTAGACACATCCCTCTCTCCAATTTCTCCCCACACTTCTCTGAAATAATATCCTCCTTCGCATATTTCGTCAAGGTCATTCTGGTGTTGCATTCCAAAGCTTTGTGAATAATTTTACGGGTAGCAGCGCAAAGCAACTGATGTTATTTTGGAAGGGCGTATATATACACAAGGGCATATATATACGCCCGGGGCAGTAACGCATCGGCTGAGCAAGGCGTATATATACGCCCGCGGCAGTTAAGGGGTTAAGGGTGGCAAATGCATAATGGAAAAGTACTGGATTTTTATTGCAACTCTGTCTATTAGAGCAAAAAAAACTACAAGAATATTAATAAATACTTAAATAGTTTAATTTTATTATGTTAATTTTTATTCAAATTATTATTTATACTGCAAGCTATATTTCACAAATGTACACATAGCTATCAAAATTTACACAGAATAAATAATAACTACTCTGTGATGAAGAAATTATAAACAGAAAATTTAAGCACTTTTTATAACTATTAATATTTAACTTTAAATGAAATTTAAAGCCACTAGAATCTTAAAATTAATACACAGATAAATCAACTGCATTTATACAAGTAGAATTTGCAACTATAGTGAAACTAAGGAATAAAATTCAAGCTTCATGACAAAAATTTGATCTGGCTTAATAAAAAGTTATATAACAATTACAGCCAATATAACTCATTAAAATAGAGGAAGATTTCATCAATATAGGCACTTCTTTTTTAAAAATAAAAACTATTTTTTAAAACATCTTAATTCAAAACTAAAGTATTATTTGCCTTCCTTGTAAAATAGATCATTTGCTAGCAGATATTTTAAAAGCATACTCAAACACTTATAACTCTTAAATGCTCACTACAGATCTAAATTTTTTCAAAAGTTTTCAGCAAAGTCGCATTATGTTTACACAGCAACTTTCAAATTCACTGCTTTCATTACATAACCTTCATTATCCACTTATGAAAAAGAAATCATGCAGCCCTGCATCAGTAAATACGTAATAGAATACTTAATGAAGTATTTTATATGTTGTTTACTATTTATTCCCATTTATTTCATTTAAATAAAAACGGATGCTTAAAATTTTATTCATGTAATTCATGTAATTTTATTCAAAATTATTCCAGTTCAGCATAAGAAATTAAATAAGTACTCTAATTAGGCAGATAATTCTTAATAAAAAATTAAGTTATCCAAACCAAGTGAAATAAAATATGTATTAAAAGATAATAAAATGCATATCCTCTTCAAAATTTTATGCAAAATATCATTCCCACGCATTTCTGATTTAATTCTTTGTTTTTCCAATTTAAATAATTGTAACCAATATTCTCTTATTATTATCGATTCTCGAACACAAATATCTATTAAATAACTCAGGTTCAGCATAGCTTTATTTAAATATAGAACATTCAGAAAATTAATATAATTATAATTAAATTAAGAGACTTTTTTTCTGGTACTCATGTTCAAAGTTTCCGGAAATTTTCATTTCGCAAACTTAAAGATAAATAAAAAAATTTTGAAAATGCTTCAAATATAACAAATGCATATATTCTAATATGAAATATACATCTTGATTTTCATTAACACATTGATAATCTTAAAATTAAGCCCCTAAAAATGTCCGAAATTTCAAGGGCATTAGGTAGGATCTAAAATTTCCGTAAATACAAACTAAAATTTGGCATTAAATTATTAAAAGTCATACATAAAATTTTATTTTAAAACATGTTATACTTATGCAAAAACGAAAATTAGACCCATTTTACACAGAATGCCTTATAACATTTCAAACGTAGAACGAATAACCCATCCCACTATCCTGGCAATGAAAAAATTAGATAAAAGGAATACTGCAGAAGACATTTTTAACAACAAATTTGATAAATTTCAATTCTAATATATGTAAAGATCTTACGGCTATGTCGATACACATTGAAGCGTCCAGCATGAAGAAAATCCAATGCAATAAAATTTTTTACAGTACTTCACACCATCAGTCGCGACAGTAACGTCAAATTACTGTGCTATGTGGTTGCGGTTAGCATGTTTGTCAGAACACCAAAACGAAAACTACAATTTTATAAGTTAATCCTTTTTATGTGTTTATTTATTAAGCTCTTAAACCACCTGATATGAAAGGGTGCGAATAATATTTCCATACATCCGCAAGTATAAAGTGAAACAGATAAAAGCATTACCATTGCTATTTATAATGCTACTAAAATTTTTAAACCAGATATTGAGTATTCTCTGAAGATGATCCAATTTTTGAAGAACAGATTATTTGAGATTAAATTAAGCGTCCATTCTAGGGCTGAATTTTTCGAAGTTCAAATTTGAGGTTTCTATAGTTAATTTCCAGCTATTAATCGTCTCTTTCGAATTCTTAATAGGATTTTTTAATATTAATAGTAAGAATGTTAATAAAAACTTATTACTACATTAACTTATTGATAAGCAAAATGCTGATCACAGTATTGATATGTGTGTTGAAATGATCACAGTATTGATAAGCAAAATGCTGTTATACGGAGACGTTCGCTGACCCCGCACATAGGCGTTTTGATTGTGGAATATTTTTGCATATTAACTGCAGTTACCTCCATATCGTCGTTAAGAAAATTAAATATGAAACAAAAATAAGCATTCGCTAAACAAAATGAAAGAAACCACTGTGGGCTGAAGGAAGGAGCTGATTAAGATGTTTCCTGTTAGCTCAAGAAAAAGCACTCTAATGAGTTTGATTGGAATTCCTGATATCATCCCCCCAAAGACTGAAGGGCCCTAGTCTGAACACAGTCGAAACAGAACAACAGATCGTTTTCTCTGACCTACGATAAAGAACGAGTTTCGTGCTGTCGTTTTATAATAACAGTTGAGAAATTAGCGCGTCATCTCACTTTCGCTAGCACTAAAACTATCATCATCAAGGAGCTTTCTAACCTGCTTTGTCATCACATAATGCAGTCAAAAACGTATAGCCATATTTCCAATTCATCTGTTCAGCACTGTATCTTTGAAAAATCCCAAAATTTTCATTTACTGTTTTCAGCCAGGAGTAACTTAGCCAGGAGAGCTTAAAAATGTTTAAATGCTTAAAAATATTTGAATAGTTGAAAATTTAATATCGATGAAAATTCTGTCTGTTCATACATTTTTAAAGCTCGAGTTACAACCGTTACTTCAACAATCATTTTTAAGATAATGCTCTGGTTCACTTCCACAAATTAAAAATACCGTAGAATTTTTTAATTTAGATAACTTTGCTTTTCTATTAATTTAAATTCAGTTATTAAAATATGATGAACTACATTCGTTTGTCAATTATCTTAGCCTTTCTTGACTTTTCGACTGCAAATTCACAACGAACAACAAATGATTTGACCGTAATTTACAGATTTGATAACGGTATGTGTTTTCTTACTATTTATTGCTTAATATTAATTGAAAACAAAATACCTTTTTCTTTATGCAATAAAATGACAAAGAAGCTTATTTTTAAAGTATTATATATTTCACTATAACGTGAATTCGAGACAATAATGATTTAACGTTCTTTCACATTTTGTCCCCCTTGAATAATAACAAAAAATTTAAACGAATTTTCTAATTTTTACTGAAATCGTTCTGTCTTGTAATATGGCGTTAAATATTGTGATACCCTTGGACTTAATAAATGGATCCTTTTTTTTTCCCTCATTAGAAGAGATTTCAGAAAATTTTAATACCAAGATATTTAATGTGCATTTTGATAATAAATTTTACATAAAATTTAAAACTATAGAAGGAAAGCAATCAAAAGATGTTTCTAAATTGTTTTAGAGAGGGAAAATTCTGAAAAATTTAAAAGAAATATATTTGATAAGAGAAATTAATGAAAATGCGAAGAAATGAGGAAAAGGAAGTGCACGAATTGGATTAAAATTGTCAAAAACTAATATTACAGTTAAAACAATTTGTACTTCCGCCATGAGAAATCGAAGAATACTAGAGGAAAAGATAATTTCTGCTTGTTTTATTTTATTAGCTTTAGCTATTTTTAAAAATAGAATAGAAAATTTTAGGAATAAAATTAAATAGGAAACTTCTTAAAAGCTACAATTCAGAGAAAATATGTGTTCACTAATGGTCAAGCCGTTAAGATTGTTGAACACTGGAATTTTGTTCTGAGTTTACCTGCCAGACAGCTGGCAGGTTGCGGAAGAATTTTATGGTTTTATAACGTGAAAAACCATTTAATTTCCTTCCGAAAGTCCAGACGGCTTTCGAATGCTTTTAGGTAACCGATTAAAAACAAACAAATTATAAAATAACAGTAGAAAATATAGGTACGGGTAGGTTGGGGTGGTAGTGCAGATATGCCCTACCGCACTAACCGTTCAGATGACTCCTACTGTTTTGTGGTATGGGAAGAAAGGTGGGATTCGAGGATCCAACACGTTTCCCATATTCTAAAACTACTCAAGAGGACTTTCGGTTCGCCAGTACTTTAAATGTCCCCATGCCGCACTTAAACACTGCTATGCTTTCTCCTGAATTTGAGTCTTAGCTCAATGATATGGCAGCCAGTCTTGGTAACCATTACACCACTCAAAACAGCGGTCCGTCACAGGCAGCAGCATTTTTTGGGTGCAACAGCATTTTATACGGTTAGTCAGATGGATCGTCGAGGCAGATGAAGAATAATTATATCCTAAATTGAATTCTAAATTCATAATGAATTAAACTGAGAAGAAAAAGAATTTTCACTACACGAAATATTGGTAAGAAAATCGAAACAGGAACATGGAAGGGCAGTTCTCTTACATTTTTGCAATTTATTCCAAAATACAATCTCCCGAACAAAATTTCAAATATTCTAATACGAGTGCGAACTTTCCACTTCATTGTTGTAAGTGTTGCTAGCTATCAGAAGCATTTTCTAAATAAAAACCAATCAAGAAAGAAATATGTAAGAACTACATATGTATATATTGCATTTAAAAAGCCTTTCGATGCTGTATGCATAATAGCAACAGCAGCAATGTAGCAGACCATTACAATAACATCGAAGACTTCCCCAATAGATAAAAACAAGCAGAGTGATAATAATATAACGTTAAAATGTTGGAATTAAAAGTTTTCCTCCCAAAATAAACGCAGAATTTTAATTAATTCTCTTACATTTCGTTTTGACATTTTTTTGTAGTTATATGCATAACTTGATTTGTAAAATTTAAAGTGTCGGCGCCCCATGGAAAACCATCCGGAAGAAGATAATAAATAAAAAAAATAATAAAAACAATTGAATTTAAATTCAATAAAATGTAAAGAGATAAATAAAAATTTAAGAAACCATTCAGTTACTTATAAATAGTGTTAAATAATATAACAAAATATTGGACCTCATTTTATTTTCGGCTATGGCTGGAACTGCAGTTTCATTCAAAAACTAAGACATGGTGGAGCCTTGCTCTAGCTGAATTTAAGTTCTAAATACTGAGATTTAACAAAAATTTCTCGCCTCAGCAAATATCTTTCTGCGCAACCAGTTCGCGTTGGTGTATTTAATCCTATTTTGTCAAATGATTTTTGGCATATGAACGAAAGAGACTTGCTGTGATGGGAATTAATAAAAAAAAAATATCGTTATCATCAACTACAAGGTATCTGAAATAGAACTATCAGCAGGGGCGTAGCTAGAGGGGGGCAAGGGGGGCCAAACTGATGTTACGACATTTTAGAATTAAATTTTTTCCATCCTTGGCAAGCAGTAGGGGGCGCGAAATCTTCAGTTGCCCCTGGGCGCTGAAAACCCTAGCTACGACTCTGACTATCAGGCTAACAGATTAGAACTATCATTTACTTCCAGTTCTGTTGCAAAAAGTCAGCTAGAGAATATCACCAAAGCATGCGTATAGCTTTAGGTACTAATGTTGTATCATATGACACTGTGAAGGTTTGGTACCGAAAGTTCAAAAACAAGGACTATGACTGCCATTTTTCACACCTGCAGCTACATCTTACTGGTGCTATCTTCCATTCTGCACAGGACGCCCGAAATGACGTTGATCTACTTTTGAACTCACGGCCACCAAGTTTCTGGGCCGAAAGCTTTCAAAAACTATCAGAACGTCGGCAGAAAATCATAGATTTGGGTGGTGATTACTACCCGCACTAAAGGTGCTGTTTTCATGTTTTTTTTTTCTAATTTAATTAAAAACTTTTTTTTGGCGTGATTGGGATTATTAAATTACGGCAAAGCACACGAGGGCTATCTGCCTTCGTGGAGTACTTTCTAAAGGAAACTGGCTGGTATACACGTTACACATGGGGAAAACCACGAAAACACCCATGCAGCCAGCCCGTTCGCGGGATTCGAACCTCGGATCGAACTATCAGTGTTCAGCGTCTTTACCACTCGGCCACTGGTGGGTTCCGTTTTTTGGCGGAAAACTTTCCTTACAGCCAGATATTTAATATTATGCATTATTTCAAGGATGACAGAAACGGAGACCATTCTTTTTCTAGCACAGCAATGATAGAAGGTAAAACGGTTAAAGCGTCACCAATGAAAATCGATAAAACGCTAGTAAATTCGCAAACAAAGAAGGAAGAATCCTACACTTTTTGACCGCGATGCCCAGCTGATATGATTCTAATTGTCAAAAAAGATACCACAGGGAAGACATTTTCTCTGAATCTGACGATTTTCTTCCCTTAATTTGGTTGCATCGTTAAAAAAGTATGCAGAGGCTTTACAGTGAAAAGTCACTGTATTCGCTCGCATAAACTCTGCACTTTCTGGAAAGTAAGCCTTTGACATGTCTGCGATGACTTCAAAGTTTCAATCTTCCACAAAGTGTTTGTTTCTCTCTCAAGCACACATATTCAGAAATTAGAATCTACTTTTATGGCATATTTATTATTAAAATTGTCTGCTGACTTGTGGTTCCCTTAGGTACTACTTTGGTAGACTGTTGCACGGATATTTGGCGAGTTACGTTGGCGCGATTTTTGCAATCGTCAGCCATCTTCAAAAACGCTGTTTTTATGCATAGTAAAGTATTCGAAACTTAAAAATAAATATCGTTAAAAGTAATGGATTGACTTTTTGTTGAAAATGTCGTTTTTTAAGATGGAAGGCAAGTGTAAATAAATACATTTACTATGAGTCTAAAATACTAAAGTAAGGTTATTATTACTTTCATATAGCAAAAAAGAGAATAAAAACACTGCTATAAAAACATTGTGCCAACGTTTAATTAGATTAAAATATTACTGAAATTGAATATCGAATTAAAAACCATCATATCAACATTTAAAAGAATTAGAATATTATTAAATTCAAATACTTTAAAATACGTTATATAGAATATAATTAACATTAAAATATATGTGACAATAATTATCTCAGCAATTTTTGAAAATAGTGTATTAATATTTTTTAACAAAAATTGAAGTGTACAATTATAAAATAAAAGAAAAATATGTACTTACATTTTTTTTGAGTCATTTAACCTGTTGTTTATTGATAAGTACCACACACACCACACACACACACAAAAAAAAAAAAAAAAAAAAAAAAAAAAAAAATCGGAATCATAATTGAATGGCCTCTTTTAACAATCTTCATCTGTGATCCACATTTCTCGGACTTCATTGAAGAAGCAATTAGTGAGGTTTCCTTCAAAAATTTAAAATAAATTTCCTATGACGCTGTTAACAATTTATAAATAAATTAGGAACCACAGGTTGGCCAAAATAAGGTCTCAAAGGGCAATTTTTTTATTCCAATACCAATAATTCTTGGTAATTACCAATAACAACATTCATCTTCGAAATGGACATATCCATTCCATTTGAAATTTGAGGAATTGGAATATTTGTATGAATAATAAAATTTTAAAATGGCGCGGTAATGCACAAATATTCAGTAACCAATCAGGGAGCTGATTACCTCACGCATAGAATTAAAATTATTTAAATAATCATTCATAATAAAATCATTTTTTAAAACAAATGCAAAATTAAATTGTATTTTAATATTTAACAGCCATAAATAATGTTTAAAACATTAGATTAAATTTTTAGATATTAATAAAACCAACTTTTAAGTAAGGTGATGTCATTGATTACATCATCCACAACATAAAATTATATAAAATATTATAAACAAAATTTTTATTTCAAATAAAAATGCAAAATTAAATTGATTTTTAATAATTAGGAGCCATAAATAATATTTAAAACACGGAATTTATGCATAATAAAACGCATTATTTTTTAAATAAAATGACAACAAAGTATCGGTTACCATAAATAACTTATCCAGCAATGGGTTTACCATAAGTTGTATTACTCACCAAAATCCGCGCAACCGTCTGCCAAAGTAGCACCTTTCCCTACATAAAAGAAGTGCCAGAGCGTTGGTTATATGTTTGTCTATCAAAATGGGCGGCAAAAGTTCTAGCTACGCTACTGCCCGACGGTACATCAAGTATCGCCGGACCTTAGTATCATTTAACCCCTTCGAGCCGGGTAGCGAAAACGCGTGCTTATCGCGGAGGCCGGCAGTGTCTTCCGCAAGCGTCTCTCCAGGGCCGGGGGCTTTTTTGCTACTAAGCCTAAATCCATGAAATTTCCGAAGTATCAACGCATTGTTTAATAATGCTCTATAGAGTATTTAAACGGCTTATGCTTTATAGATATTTTTATATATATACTTTAATTACCTTATTTCTTGTTTAAATGCATATTTTACACATTTTATTTTAATTACTCACCATTTTATGACTTTTAACATTATAATATGAAAACTAAATATATTACTTAAAAATTCTCTTTTCGTATGAAAAATTTTAAAACAGGGATCTATACACAGTCCTACGTTACATTCCTTGAACTCGTAATGACTCATTTGCCATTTTGGAGGATTTTTCCGGGAATGTTAACAAACGAAGCATCGTCGTCTCATTTTCTTATCAGTCTCTTCTGAACAAAGTTTTGGAAAATGTCTTTCAGTTAATCTTTCAGAATCAATATCAGAATTTCAGAATCAATATCTGAAATGTTTTGCATCATTTCTGCTATTTCATGCTCTGTTAAACATTTTCGACGCTTCGACATTGAAACGGTAAAAACAGAAAGAATTCACGTCTAACAAGATCTAATTATTTTCTAAAAACTGAACTGTAGACGGAAATACTCAACGCTTTAGCGCATATAAAACTTCTACTTACAATAATGCTGTTTCTTGCGCTCTTGGATTTTATATTGCCTTTATTCCATAAAAAGTACTAATTTTAAAAATATGTTAAATTATTTTAGTGTTTTTTTTTCTTTACAGTTATTTAATATGATTTATTCCTTATTGGATGCTAAAGCCTTATATCAATAAACAAATAACTGTAAATTTTATTTGTACTCAAGGGGGATCTTGATTATGCTGATCCACTGCCAATGCATATTCAGCTATTGCCTCTTGATCATCATTCATCCACCCCCAGTGGTCAATACCAATCCCACATCCTTAAAAATTAGCATCTTTTATGATGTAGAAAATGAATCTTTTCATGTCCAGGCGTGTTAACACATTTTTAGAAGAATTTCGATAAAAAATTTTTAAAAAGGCAAATGTTTTGGAATGAAAATTTCTGGCAACCACATATTATTTGAAATGAGAAACACTGTCTGCTAGTTTTAAAATGATTCTTCTTTCAAAATGTCACATGTAAGCAAGCTGTGGAATGATGGATATGTTTTTGCACTTTCTGAAGAGAAATATTCCTATTCCATAATTAAAAAATGCTATCAAATGCATGACATTCAAATTTCTAAGAGCAAAATAAGCAATAAAGGGGGAAAAAACTGTCAATGATTGCTTCTACAGACATGGAAAGAAGACTCCAAATGAATACCCATAAAAGGATACATACTGTTTCAAAAGTTTCTAATCATTGGTAACAAAAGAAAACCCGCCAGCACAGAAATCAACTGCAAAGTCTTTAAATACATCTGTAGTGACAATAAATAAAATAATAAACCAAGATCTACAACTTAAAAAAGCTAAAATACATAATATTCACCAGCTTTTGCCAAGGCATGTGGCTTAATGCAGAAAAGCTGTACAACCCTATATGAAAACCATCTAGCAGGAGATGAAGGAAATACATTACAACCTTCGATGAAGCATGGGATTACCTAAATGACTGCAAGACCCCCCTGAAAAAAATCTATTTCTTATCAAAAAGAAGAGAAACAGATGGATAAACCTTGTCCTTCTGTCAATGGGGAAATGAAGTTTCAGGTTTACGATTGTCCCAGGGTTCTATTACAACGGGAAATTAAAAATAAAGAGTGACAAAAATATTATAATCAACTCAAGGTACTATCGAGAGAAAGTTTTTCATGGAAGAAATTCCATTCCTTTATCTCAGTGATTGTCAAAGAATGAACTTCATCAAGGCAAAGCAACAAGTCATACTCAAGTAAAAGTACCACTGCCTTCTTTGAAGAAATGAAGACTGGTATTGCATATATATGTTTTCAACATATTCCTGGGGAGTCCCTTCACATCTCACCTATGGACTATTGTGTCTTTAATCTGTGGAAGAGATTTCTTTCTAAGCACAAATCCACCGCAATGGATGGCCTTTAGAAAACAATGGAAGATGAATAGAAATTAATACCCTAGGAAATTTTACGAAATGACCCCCTATCACGATGCCACAAAAAAAGTTACCAGATTGAACTTTTAAAAGAATACACTTCACATTTTAAACATTGATTAAATGGCCTCGAAATCATTCTAAAAATGTGTAAACACCCTCTGTATTTATTTTTTGGTGTATATGTGTATATAACATTAACATGCAATCAGACATTTTAAGTCGATACTGCATCATCTTTACCTATACAGGAGTTATCTTTTACACCGATCAGAAAAATGCAACCCAAAGTGAAAATAAGAACAGAACATCACAACAGAGTTTACACGATGGAAGTTCAATGGAAAATTTTAACTCTTCAAATTCAAGTTTGCAGCATCATCGTTCCATGGAAAATTTGAACTCTTTAAGTTTACAGCATGATAATTCCACGGAAAATATAAACTCCTCCACTTCAAGTTTACAATATGAACAGTTAATGGAAAATTTTAATTCTTCTAATTCAAGTTTACAGCATAAAGGTTCCATGGGAATGAAGTTACACAATAACAAACAGATAAGGAAGCCTAATTTAGAAAAGCACTATCAATCAGTTATTCAGAAAAAGGAACAAATAAAGAGAAATTATGAAATTAAAAAAAGTAAAGAACTCGAAAGGTATCCTATAGAAAAATTGGTGGCTTCAAGTGTTCAAAGAAGTGAAAAAGATCAAGTATTTCATATTGTCACCAGACAAATAACCAGAGAAATTCTGAAGCAAATTTTAATGCAAATAGTAATAATCTATGTGCAGTTTATAATGTCATTTGCATGTACAACAGCAATTCTAACATTTGTTGGACGTTTAAGAGCTGTGCTCACTGATATGTAAGAAAGCAATAAAGAAACATCAATATAAAGTAAATAAATTTATTGTCTTGAGCACTATTCAGTTTAATAAAATAGATTTTACAAACTGCAAATAAAATCACATTGGATAAACAATGTAAATGTAGTTGACTGTACAACGTATTACTGTACATTATATACAACTAATTTAAAGTAGTTATAACTTATACAAATCAAATTAATGCATTACACAAATGAACACTTGACCTTTACAAAAAGTCTTCGCAAAATATAAAACAAAATATTAACTACTATGTACATATTTACCTACAGATAGATTCATTTGAAAAATATTCTAAAAGAATTGAAAATGATATGCAATATTCTAAAAAACTAGAAATAAAAAATGCATGTTTAAACTTGGAAGAAATATATATGTAAAATCAATAGCTGCTTAAAATGTACACAAAGTAGAAATAATACATTGCAAATAAAAAACAGAAATCTTATAAGTTATAATTCTTAACGGAAGAAGTTAATATTCTAAAATGTATTTAAATATATTTAAAGCACTGACATAACATTTTTAACCAGTCTTTTTTTTTTTCAATCTCGAAAGTAAATATGTTGTGTAGAAACCTTATCCACTATTGCTGTAATAAAACCATACATGCTTTAATAGCATTCAATCTGCAGTAACTTTATTCAGAAACAACAAAATTACCATTTTACTAACTTTTATTTGAAAGACATTTATTTCCTTATCTTTTTTTTAATACACACTAGTTTTGTTTTCTTGCTCTTTAATAATAATAATAATAATAATAATAATAATAATAATAATAAATTTTATTTCCTGAAGCATTTTTCCAAATTATTTTTTCTAATTTAGCTCTTAACTTCTTCAGAAAATACAGGAATGAAGTTCCTTCATTACAGATTTTAATTTTTACTTGAAATTTTCTTTTTCCTAATTTACAATTTATGTGACATTTTTTAAGAATTAATACATAAAATATATAATTTGCACATAATTTTTACTTTCAACTGCTTTAATATCTTGTGCCAAGGCAATTAGTGTAGTCCTAACTTTTATTGAAATGTCGCTGCATTCTAAAAGGCATACTATAGTATCAGTAGCTATAACATATTAAAATATGACAGTTAATGAAAAAAATTTATGCAGTACACACCAAACAATCTATATTCTGTGAAATTTCTAGAGAAAAATTAATTTTAAATCTCTTGGCATCTCTACAAATCTTTACTTTAATTTTTAGAACTTTAGATTTTAAATTTTGATTTAGATATTTAGCTTTAATAAAAGTCTAATTAAAACAATCTACAGAACCTACCTGATACACATCTAAAATATATATATCATTCACAGTGCATTAAATATTAAATCTTTTATACTATACATTTCTTCAAAATTTACACAATTCTGTAATTTTAGCACTATTTCTTTATACTAAAAGCAATCAAGTGTAATAGCAACAGTAAACTTCAAATAAGCGGCAAAGAAACAAACTAACAAAACTTACACAAAGCTATTAAAAAAAGTACATATGTGAACTTCAGAAAGTGAACAACATTTGTAAGATTTAAAAAATGATTTATAATCACAACACAAATGAAAAAGGCTTAGCAAATAAGAGGATCATTTGATTGTCCTCGACGTAATCTGCAGAGAAAATTCTTCTTGCAGATATAATCACATACTGGATGGCTATAATCACTCAGCTTGGTATAATACCTGAAATTAAATATATAAAGTATCTGATCAATATAATTTGCATAAATCTTGGTACATACAGTACAAAGTCTAAAATCTGGATCAGCAGCTAATAAATAAATAAAATAATAATAATAATAATAATAAATCCCCCCTTACAAAATCTATGAATGGAGAATATAATAGTACTCAACAAAAGGAAGAAGGTTGTGCAGTAAATGCAATTTTTCTCCAGACTGATATTTGCATATGTTACTTTCAAATACCTCCTCACTATGGAGTTGCATCATAGGCAATAAAAATACATTGAGTGACACTGTACAAATGCTAGAGAGGATCACACTTTCAGCGCTTGAATGGTTGGTAGTGGAGATGGTATGTGGTTACATTATTTTCTCACCTGATACCACAGTGGGTTTAGCATTTTTCTACATGACCTAAAAATTACGCAAACTCTGATGTTGCCATGTCTATGTTCACCTTACTAGATTAAACTGATGATTTAAAATTCGGAAATTTCTGAAATCGCCAAAATTCTGAAAATTTCAGGTCTAGATTTTGTATTGTATGATAACATTCAAAGAAAATTTAAATTCTGTAACATAAATGGAACAAATATTAAGCTGAAAACTAAGTAAAACCTTGAAATATTTACAAAGTATAAATTAAAATATTTATGGCAAAGAAATGACTGTCAAATTGTATGTAATGTTCTTCATTTTAAATAACAACGACTGGAAGAGCACAAAAAACAAAACCGCTAAAACTATTCAAGAATAAACCTGCAATTTTACACTATAAACATAACTTTTATTTAAATGTTGATTATTTACCGAAACTATCGATGGCACACTGTTCAAACATCAATTCTACTTTCAAAAAGTTGCCGCCCATACGGGAAAGTGGTTAATGACTCGGACTGCTGCACTGAGGGCCTGGGCTTGAGTCCCATAGAAGTCATGGATGTAAAATTGTATGTCTCTTCATAGGAGGCAACGATGGCTTCCTCTACCTCCATAATAAAATGACCACCACGAGTATAATACTGGTATATTAGAATTCCAAATAAACCAGACTAAATGGGCTGTTTTTTTTTCTCTATATCTAAGACATATTTACTATAAGGTAGATGTATGAATTTTATTTCTTTATTTATCACATTACATGGAATATTACAAAAAAGTTGACTATATACTTTACTTCCTTCAATATTAATCCTAAATATGTACTTTCAATTATAAAGTTTTTCAAAATAAAATAATTTTTTTTTAATAACAGTATCAGCATTGAGGAAGGAAAGTTATTTTAAAATTATAAATCTAACATTTTATATATATAAGGTCTAATAATTAAAATGTTTGCTACACTTTAATAAATATAAAAAGTTTCATTCCTTTACATTCAACGTTCAATTCATTTCCATTTTAGAATTGATAGAGATATTATAGAATGAGTTTAATGACATAGTTTACTTTTTACTGTTTCTTGCTTAATGATTTCAGCAAGCTATGGACCAGATTTAAGAAGAAACTAGGAAACAAAAGTTGTCATTTGGGTGATTAATTAAGGCAAAAAATAATCCATTTCATTAACTTTCTTATTGGTCTGTGAAACTATTAAGTATAAATACCTCTATGAATTTTACATATAAAAGTACAAAGATGTTTTGCTCATTAAAGCCTAATGAACTCTGGATTAATTGGACTTTTTCACTCTAAAGACATTTTAAAGTAAAATTGGATATTTACATAATATTTCTAGCAACACTTTTGAAATTGTTTTCATGAAAATCTCTTAAACAATTTTATAAATAAAATTATTTATCTAAGATCAATTTCAAGAAAATGATCAATTTCATAAAAATAAAATATGTAGCTATATTTTCAAACAGCCTACATTTCTAGATTATGCAGCAGAAAAAAATTAAAAATATTTTTAGTTCTGCATCAAAACATTTTTTTTTTTAAATAAAATCATTTACCAATATGCAAAAAAACTCATTTCCGTTTTAAACTTTGAAAGAATAATGAAATTAATTTCTGTTTGCAAAGGCCTTTTACTTTAGTACATGGCTTTGTTTCTATATTTCTTTATTAAAATTAAATAAAAAATATTCATATAAATTAAATATATAATTCATACTTAATCACCAATAAGTAAATTAAGAAAATATTTTATTTACTTTTCCTTAAAATTACCCTTTAGTTCTCCTAGTAGACTTTTACTCTTAAAGCAAAACTGCTCAGCATTACAGATTTTCAATGACAAAAGAAAGATGAGAATTCAGAAATTTTAAAAACTTTAGTAAGTATTCATATGAAAAGTTCTTTGTTTCTTACAAGGAGAGCTCAACCTCACTTTTGAGTCTGCATCATTTTTCAAATAAAAGAATGTTGTCACTTAATGTTATTGCCATGTATTAAAGAAATAATATAGCAAATATAAAAAAAGTATGACAACACTTTCAGGAATTCTAAAAGTAGGCTGTTTTTAAACATTTTGAAATTTTGCTATTGATTTTATGTGGCATAAGTGTGTGATGTTTTAAATAAATTAAGTTAAAAATAAAAGTTGTCTAAGTCATCTTACTAAGAAGAAAACTAAACACTGATATATTGATATGATGAACTGAGAAAATGATGAAAACATTAATGGCAACACTTAACACTAAATAAAAAATTCTGAAAACATTTTTTAAATTTAAAAATACACAAGGGTAGTTAAGGTACAAAAATGTAAAAATAAAGTTAAAAATACAAAAAAAGGTAATAAAACAAAAAAAAAATAGTTATGAAGTCATTATTTACTTTTATTTCTACAAAAAAAGCAGTAAGAAAGTTAAAAATACAGAAAAGTAGTAGTAGGTTCAAATCCAAGAGCAGACTGGTAAACTGTGAGCTCAGTGAGAGCAACCTTAACAAACTGTCTGGTACAACATTAAAATCTGAATCCTTACAGATTTTTTTCTATCTTTTTTAAAGAGGACATAAGCAGCAGTTTAATTTCTGTTTTTATTTCCATATTAACTACTATCTGCAGAATTATAAAATATTATTGAAGAATATAAAAGAATCTCATTTACGTGAATTAAATACGAACTTCTTCGATTAGCATGACAAGTAGCCTATAGTTTTCTTTAAAATCCCTCTCCACTCTTCATTTAGCTAAAGTTTTCCAACAGCAGGTAATGGACATACTACAGAAATCCTCGAAACTCTGAAGCCTGGGCCTTACTCCAACTCATTTTCCATTTGCTTAAAGATTTTAAATGTTAAAGGTGAAGATTTTGTATGGTAAAAGAGTTCAGAAAATTTTATGTAATTAATTTTAATGTGAAATTGATGACTCCTTTTTATTATTTGTTGCTACATTTATGTTATCATGAGTTAACATGATTCACAGCACTAAAGATTTTATCACTTTCCATTCAAAAAAAGAGCAAGATTGTTTTTTTTTTTTTAATATCTTAGTTAAGACTATGGTTTCAGAATCATATGTAAGGACATATCTTATTATAATTTTGAATACAAGTGGCATTTTTGATTAATCATGAAAATTATTTTTCAAAATGTATAATGTAAAAATATTATAATGCTGCTCAACGAAAGTATGTGCTATAATAACAAAATACGATGGCTGCTTTAAGAATAATAGGTGACATTAAAATTAATAATTTTAGATTTTATGCTCTCTCCGTAAATCCATCTATTCTCCAAAATTCGAGATCTTTTCATGTTATGTAATACTTAATGTAGATACCTTTTGACCAATTAAAAAGAATTGTAAACCTAAACTTTTCTAACTCAAACTGAAACCTTTGGCTCCTTCCCTCCTTCTTTTGAAGTTTTACGTCCACTTTCACTTAAGCTTTCCTCCTGGCAAGACGCTTTGCTGCTTCGCTTCTCAAATGCCTATGCCATTTCTTTTTAAAAGCCAATGTACACTGTGAAAAAAAAAAAAGGAACAGTTCTATACCTCCTGTTCTATTGGGTGGATTGACAAAATTCAAATTGCATTTTTCATGTCTCAAAAACACAACTTAGGATATGTATTAGATTGATATATAGCATTGTTCTAATTTAGGTATTTTGACAAAAAATGGGACTTTTTCTGAAATGACATGAAATTTTTTTCCATAATTTGATTCTACGACTTAAATTATGCCAAACTGCCAAATTTTTAAAAGTGCATGAGCAGTTTTTAAAAAATTAGCTCTCAAAATTTTAGCTCCTCAATGTTAATTCAATTTGATATATATTTATTATTCTCTCTTTTTTATTAAACTTATTTGATTCTTTTTTTCACATTTCGAAATTTAAGTTTATTCCAAATAAAATTCACCCATTTTTAATGATTTATTTTTTAAATTTGCATTTTAAAATAACTTTTATAAATTTTTCGAAAAAAATTTTGAATTATAACCTATAAAATTTTTACCATCATCTTAAATTAGATGTATTTCTAAAGATACCTGCAAAAAATTAGACTTTTTTATTCAAAATGTCTGAAGATATACGTGACTTTATATATTGGCGCATTTTGAAATTTGGCATATTTGTTGAAAGCGATAATAACATCAAATGTGGCTTGGGCACTTTGTTAAAATTATTTGAAAGTAGGAACGATGTAACTTTTTTCTGCTCATGCACAATGTAAAAAGGTAGGAACGAGATGAGTTTTATCCCTCTCCAGCACAATGGAAGGGAAAGGAAAATAGCTTGCCATATATTAAGAAGATCGGCAAGTATACTATTCTTGGCACAACTGAAGAAAAAACACGCCAAGATAAACTGTTGAATTTTTCCGTAATTTTCACACCAAATTTTACAAAATGTAATATTTAGGCATAATTTGAGTCGTAGAATCGAAATATGGAAAAAAATTGGTATGTTATTTCAGAAAAAGTCCGCTTTTGTGTCAAAATACCTATATTAAAACAATGCTACATATAAATCTAATATATATCCTAAGTCGCACTTTTGAGACATGAAAAACACAATTTGAATTTTGTGAATTGGTCCACTAGAATGGGAGATATCCAATTTTTTTCCAATTCCTGTTCCAATTTTTTTTGCACATTGTACATAGAAAGTTATCATATTTCATTATGACTGAATCATAGAAATGTATCGGATTTCATTATGATTGGATAAATATCTACCGAGATAATTTTATATGCGTGGAAATAAAGATTGGGAATTTGTCTAATTGATTTTTGTGTCAGTGTCATCTTTTCTGTCTTCCCTTCTGCCAGGGGCATAACTAGGAGGGAGGAATGGGGAACATCTGTCCCCGGGCACAGCATCCAGGGGGCGCCAAATTGATATAAAGAAATTTTAGAAAGAAATGTTTTCCATTCTTGGCAAATAGGAAGGGGGGTTGAAATTTGCAGTTGTCCTCGGGTGCTGGAAGTTCTAGCTATGGCTCTGCCATCTGCTTCCAGGCGCTTGTGTCGCCTTGCTGCTATCCATGCAGAGTTTACTTTTCTAAATTTTGTCCATACTTATGTAAGCCATAGAAAATTAGGGTGCATATCACAACCACAGTGATAATGCACATTATCCAGAAGTGAAATTATTTCTAGAATTTCGGCCATGTCTGCAAGTTTTTTTTGGTTTATGCATCCATCGTTCTAACTACGCAATCAAGTTGTCTTCAAGTTATGATGAATAGAAAACACTGCCAATCTGCTGCAACTTACTTCTACCAAGTCATCTTATTTCAATAATAGTGCAGTCTTATCACAATAATAACACAGTTTTATTACATATTTATATATATACTTCTCTATTACTTAAAATAATGTGATAGTTCTGATATTTGTTTACGAGACATGCCTCATCATAACCTGGTATGCGAAAGCTGTAAAGAAAACTATCTTGTAATCAGAAATTTCACAGTAATACACAATATGCAGTAACCTGTTAAAAAAGAAAGTATGGAAAAAAAAAAAAAAAGAAGCTGATTAAAAACTGGAAGCGACTGTCTTCCCTCCAATGTTCTTTCTTTCAGCATTTTGGTTACGAAAAGATTAATTAAGTCTCATTATATGAGGTTTCATAGTAATAAACTTGCACTTACAGAAATGATTTAATAGTGTTATAGTATATAACAAACCTGTAAAATTTTTTAAACAGTTTATCATCCTCCTCAAAATGATGAATCAGAAGATCCCAGTCAGAAGGTAATAAGGAAGTCATATTAAAGGCATCTTTTGCAGAATATTCGAACCTCCACACCGGTTTCATGCGAGAATTTGCTTCAGTTAAATTCAGGTAATATGTTTCATGATCTAGAACAACCTAATACAAAAGATAAGTAAGGAATTAATATTTGAATTAATTTACGACACGAAAGCATTTCTGAGAACGTCGTAAAAAGTAAAATAACTTCTGAAAATATTAATGCTATACGTGGAATAAAATTATTTCTCAAAAGATAATTGAATGCGTAATTTTGAGATACACTGAACAATAAAATGAAAGAAAAAAAAATCTGAAAGCTTTCAGATTTTATATTAGGCCCAAAGAGGCATCTCTTTTTTTTTTTTTTTTTCCCCCCCATTTACACAGACATACACATTTCGAGAGCATTTTGGCTAAAAATATTTAAAAACAGCATACCTTTAGAATTTTCAATAGACAGTCTGGCACAATGGATATAAAAATACTTTATTCCGTACAATGTGTTGCCACTGCTTGCTTCAGAATCGTTGAGTTTCTTACTCAAAACTTCATTAAAGTTTAAAAAATATGAAATAGATAATAAAACAAATTCAAAATTTAGGTTTCTAAGGTGGCCATATTCGGGTGGAGGACTATGTTATTCAAAATTTGACAGCTGTAGGTATCGTTTTTTTTCACAGTGTGAGAAATATACATACATTCACACAGATTCTTCATTATCTAATTTCTTTAAATATAACACAGGGCGATAATATTTAGTGGCAACAATTTAAAAATTCATACACACATTTATAATGATTCAATGCAAAAGTGCCATTTTGAGACTAATAGCACTTCTGGGCTACTGTCTCTTTGGGCTAATAAAATGAAAGTATAATTATGCAGCAAAAGAACTTTTAAATCCATATTTTGAACACTGAACTTGCTTTTACCAATATCAAGTCATGCTTCCACCCGAGACTGGTGCTCAATTTTTAAACTTTTTGCTGCCAAGAAAGGAATTCTGTTTAATATAACTACAGTACAAAGTCCGTAATCTGGATGTCCATTTTCCGGAATAATTTATAATCCGGACCTCAAAGCCACAAACTTTTCTTTTGTATGCTTTAAACATGCGCATAATGTGTTTACGCACGAGCCTTTAACATATAACGGACGGTGCATTTCAATTAATGTTGCAGATTGTGCTGTTCCTTAATCTTCTAATTGGATCTGTCTTATTATTTTTTGCAGACTGTTAGAGCAATTTTATAAAAATTAAGCCTGAACTTTCGATTACGTCAAAAAGAGTTTCCAATTCTGGAGCTGCCAAAGGATCTACAAAGCAAAAGCATGTTTCGATGTCCATCAAACAAAAAGTGGAATTGCTTCAAAAAATGGATAAAGGCATCCATCTCAAAATTATGTGAGGAGTATGACATTGAAAAGTCAACTGTATATGACATGAGCAAAAAGAAAAAGGAACATTTTGAAGATTCTGACACCCCACTCGCAATGAATAACAACAGAAAAAGGGTTTTGTTATGCTAAAAGTGACGATCGTGACAAAGTGATGATTGAATGGGTCAGACAGCGTCGCAGCAAGGGCGTGCCATTGACGGGTCCAATGCTAATGACGGTTCAAGCCAAAATATTTCATGAAGAAATGAACTTAAACACTGAGTGCACATATTCGACAGGTTAGTTAACTAAATTTAAAAATCGCCATGGTATAAGACAATTAAAAATTTCAGGTGAAAAAGCTTCAGCTGATACTGAAGCTGCTGAACAATTTGCAGATGAATTCATTGAACTCATTACTAGTGAAAAATTACCTCCAGAACAAATTTACAACCTTGATGAAACTGGTTTTTTCTGGCAAAATGTACCGCGAAATACCTTGGCAACCTCTACAGAAAAAACTCCAACTGGTGTCAAAGATTCCAAAGCGAGATTAACAATTTTAGCATGCACATGTGCTGCAGAAACGAACAAGTGCACACTTTTTGTAATCGGAAAACATGCACGACCTCGAGAATTTACAGGAGTAACGATTTTCCCCATTATATACCGCACAAATAAAAGAGCATGGATGACACAAGCATTGATGAATGAAAGGTTTGAAACTAATTTTATACCCAAGGCTCGGAGGCATTTGAATTCGGTTAGTTTGTTTACCTGACGACTCAAAAATAGTCCTGATTGTTGACAACTGTTCAGCGCATACTTCATTTAAAGTTTTAGTGAAAGATAACGTATCCGTATTATTCTTCCCTCCAAATTGTACGTCTATCATTCAGCCAATGGATATGGGAATAGTGGATGCACTGAAATGAAAATATAAAGTAGCATTTTTAAAATCTATGTTAAGTTTCCTGAACAATGGCAAGACTTTTCAAGACTTTTTGAAATTTTTTAGCATAAAATCTGCTGTGTGGAGCATCACAAGATCGTGGGAGGATGTGTCTCCAGATACGTTAAAAAATGCTTGGCATAATTTATGGCCAGCTACCATATTTCATGGTGAGGACGATGAAGATCATAGCTGCGAATTTGAAGGTTTTGGACATCGCAAACTAAAGGTTAAATCTTCCAGTTATTGGCTTTTGTAAAGAAATGTGGAGAAGCAGTAATAAATGAAGATGATACAACAGAAGTTTTTCATTGCAATGACAATGCCCCAATCATGAATCAATTAACGGACGGCGAAATCTGTAGTATGGTTCTAGATCCAGAAAATACCGCTTCCAATAGTGAAGAAAGTGACAGAGAGGTTATTGAAAATGAAAAAAATTCTATTGACAACTTAATTGGTATTCTCGACACAGCAATTACAGGACTTGAACAGTGGAACTTTGTAACTGAACAAGAAATTATGTCTGTTTATAGAATTTAAGAGAAAGTATTAGCACATAAAATGAAGCAACTTAAATTGAAAGAAATGTTTAATAAAATAAATAAATAAATATTAAGTTTTTTTTTTTTCTAAATTTTGATACCCTTTAGATCATAATTGCTCTTTATTTCATAATTTACGGTTTCATACTTTTAACTGTATAATTTCTGCACGCCATCTTACCAGATTTAAATTGATGATCTATAATCTGGAAAAACCCCTAATCCGGAATCGCTGAAGTCCTGACAAATCCAGATTACGGACTTTGTACTATATTTAGGTACAGTTTACCATGAACACAACTGGTTCAAGGACACATCCTAATATCTATTACACATCCAGTTGTAAACTCTATTGCTGTTAAGTACCTATATATTTTGTGTATAATCACTATGCTTTAAATAACCCCCCCTAATTTAATTGTAAATGCAAAATTTAGAGATTTCAGATATTGTCCAGAACAGTGGTCTCAAACTCAAACTGCATGTGGACCAAATTATGATCTGAAAATAGTTGATGGGCCAGAATTTTTAGCCCAAAGGCGGTTAGCCCAGAAGAGCTAATAGCCTCAAAACAGATTTTGCATTGAATCACGTAAATGCAATATATCACTTTTCAAATTGTTGCCACCAAATGTTATTGCCCTGTATTATATTTAAAGAAATTAAATAATGAAGAATCAGCATCAATGTATGTATATTTCTCGCATTGTAAAAAAACAACGGTACTTATACTTGACAACAAGCTAACCTGAGAATATATACAATGCTAGAATGATCTTTTCACCCTGTTCTTCAAGTTATCCATACACAGCAAACTGCCTGGAGATTCATTTCCTCCAATGCGCTGCACATTTGGCGACTTTATATGAAATTCTTCACTATTATCTAAATGTAACGTATACAAATTTGATGACATTTAAAACCCAAATTGTTACTTAAAACTTGAAATGGAAAAGCTAACAATGTATTCCTTGTAGTTAGGGTCAAATGTTTTTCCCAAGACTGTTCGTTTAGTTAGAAGTAAAATATACACTGCTGGCCACCGTAAATGCAACATCCTGAAGGAAGCATGAAAAATAACATGAAATTTACAACATGAATTAGCGGAGGTGAGATATGCAAATGATTAGAATTTCAGCGCAGATGCACATCACGTGCGCCTGTGGCACCACTTCAAAGCACTATTTAAGGCTTGGAGTTATCGACGATTTCAAGTTCGACAATTGTGTTTTTCTTGTGGTTTTTTTAAAAAAAAAAAAAAAAAAAAGATCAATTATGCCTTGTACTAAACAGCGATGATCGTTTGATCAAGTATCTGAGTTCGACAGAGGTAGGATAATGGCCTACCGAGAGTGTTTGAGGAAAATCGGTAGTTGTGTTGTATGAAACCAAACAACTGTAATGTGGATATGTGACCATTGGATGCAGGAGGGTACAACGGACCGACATGTTCGATCGCATCCACCTCAGTGCACCACTTCATGTGATGACAAGAAGATTACACACATGGCAGTGACGGATTGCTCAGTCACATCACGAACCATAGCACAGCACATTCCGTCTGTAATGCATCATCCAGTGTCTGTGCGTACTATTTGATGCCGTTTACAACACAGTAGTCTGTCCACAAGACAGTAGTCTGTCCACAAGACGTCTATTGCTTCGTCAACCTTCGACACAGAACCACAGACGTCTCCGCCACGAATGGTGCGATGAAAGAAGGATGTGGACGGCAGAATGGAATGAAACTGTCTTTACTGACGAGTCACGCATCTGTCTGCAACACCACGATGGTCAGATTCAAGTCTGGAGACACCATGGAGAGAGGATGCTGAACAGCTGCGTTATGCACTGCCACACTGGTCCTACGCTGGCTATTATGGTACGGGGCGGTATTGGATATCACTCTTGCACTCCTCTAGTATGCATTCCTGGTACCAGATGCAGCTAGCGCTACATCTCCGAGGTGTTGGAGCCAGTTGTCCTTCCTTGCCTTCAGGGCTTGCCCACAGCCATATTTCAACAGGATAATGCATGACTACACGTGGCACGCATCGTCCAAGGGTTCTTCATCAATCACCAGATTGAATTGCTTCACTGGCCGGCTCGCTCTCCGGATCTTTCGCCGATAGAAAACATGTGGTCCATGATTGCTGAACAATTGACCCAGATTACATCCCAAGCTGCCACACCAGATCAACTTTGGCAACGTGTGGAAGCTGCTTGGTATGCTGTACCCC